ACGCTGGCGGTGCCCTGTAGCCAGTGTGGCTGTTGAGGCCTGGCCTTGCTCACAGCTAGTGGCAGGCAGTAGCTGTAGTTACACATCAAGCTGTTTGGTTTTGGCTGAAGAGATGCAGAGAATGCCACAAACACCACAGCGTTGCTTGGTTTGGGTCCTGCCTTGAGTTTACTGAGGTGCGACAAGCACAACATGGTGACGGTTTCCTGATTCCTGAGGGGGAGGATGAAGCTCTCACCAGTTCTCTTGCACTGCCAATGTCCAGCAACCAACAAGTCCCCAGCCACATTTATCTGCCAGCAGTGTAAGAACCTGAGAGTTGTCTTTGTTCACAGATGGAGTTTGCCCAGACAGGAATGTGAGGGCTTGTTTGCATTGTGCCTCACGCTGTGACAAATGGCTTCCAGGGTTACCAGACCACCAGGGGCCAGAGTCTGCACATACTTTAATCTGCAGCGTAGCTGAAAAATTGATGGAGGTTAAATGCGTCTTGATGATAACTGGACTCCAAAGAAAGTGGTTGGAAAAGAAAAGCAAAAGGAAGTGGAGCAAACGCCATAGTATTATTGAAGCTTTCTTGGGGCGGGGGGAGAAATCACCTTTCAGATCCTGCTCCCAGAAGCACTAGGTCTGTCTTACATCAAGCACAAGCCTTATTTAACAAGGCCTGGGCTTAGCAGGCAGCTAATTTCAAAATTCCAGACGTTCTGGCAGATGGCAGCATAGGAAGTGTGTTGGCAGCTCCTGAGCAAGGCCTTGATAATTCAAGTGATGTGATGGTCCTACTGGCTAACCTTCCTGATTGAGCATTAGATTTACTGCTTATCAGCCTTGACAGACAAATTACTCCAAAATCCACCAGATATCACCACTGATCTGTTCAGGCTGTGTATGCCAGGCCCACCAGGAAAGATCATGTTGTTTGGGTGGCCCAGACTCAGGCTTGAATCCTCTATCCAAAGTCCCTTTTCCAAGATCAGGTAGGCAGGCTACCATCTCTTGGTAGCCGTATTTGTTTCTATAGCTGACAGGATTTTGTTTTCTCTTAAAAATGGTAATTATTTTCAACCTGAGATTTTAAAAAGTCTGGAATATGGCTGGGGGCCAGATGTTGTTTGGATGATGAGAGGGTGTAGTGTCCTCAGCGTGACTGTTGGCTCAGCAGACCCATGGAATTCAAGTGCAGAGAGCTACAGGATTTAGGGGTAGAATTACCTGAGCAATCTCCCTGCTTCAGGGAGGAGCAGCTACTTTGTGGGAGGCCTTTCCTGCTTGCTTGGCTGGAATGCAGCTTTGATTATGATCTGCACGCAGCAAGACATGACTGTGTTTTGTGTGCATGCTTCAGGTCATAGGCATCGGAGCTGGCCAGCAGTCCCGCATCCACTGCACGCGTCTGGCTGGGGACAAGGCAAACCACTGGTGGCTCCGGCACCACCCGCGCGTGCTCTCCATGAGGTTCAAAGCGGGTGTGAAGAGGGCAGAGATCTCCAACGCCATTGATCAGTACGTCACCGGGACCATCGGGGAGGTAAGGGCCGAGGAGCTTCCCGAAAGAGTCCAGCTTCTGCCAGCCAAAGCTGGAACTCCAGCCATGCAGGCTAGGACCCGGCAAGGCCTCCATATCTGGGTCTTCCCTCTTTCAGCCATTTTTTCAACCCCAGAAAGAACATACCCTTTCACAGCTCACTTCAGCATCATTCAGAGGGCTTCCTCTGCAGTAAGATGAGCGTTTTGTACCCTCCACCCATACTGAGCTGTTCCTATTCCGGCTCCTCACTAAGGAGACTTGTAGTTGGTAAGTGAACTTGAGACAAGAGAGGCCTTGGTTAGTTAGTCTGATCAAGGTTTTGGAACCGCTCAGCCTTTTTGAAGATAATGATTCCTGTTAGGACAAAGGTTGTCTGTCACCTTTACCCCCACCTCAGTCCTTGAGTTTGTTCCTTGGGTGCCTCTGAAAGCACCACCACCCCACGTGCTGGAACCTGCTCTGCGCTTCTGTATGCAGCACGGCTTCTTCTGGCTGTTTCCCTAGCACTGAGGAAGGGTTAATGTCAGAGTTAATGTTTAAACTTTTGATGCCTCCTCATCCCAGCCCTCCTTTCCTTGTACACTGCTGTTTGTGGCATTTTGAATTCTGAGAATCCCTCTGACCTCCCTGTTACAAGCAGTAGTGAGACAAGAAAATCGTATGCCCTTTTTAAGCATTAAAAGTCAGGAACTCAACTGGGGGCTTAGCGAATCATCTGTGAGTGCAGCTGCTTGTTTAAGAGTAGCAGAGCTGGAGCTGTGGCTGTTTCAGAAGGTGAATCATAAACCAAGCTGCTTGTTTGTCATGTGTTAAGTCATCTACCAAATCCCATTGGCGTGTGTGTGCTGGCATTTACAGAGCAGCATACTGCAGGCAGCCAAGCAGAGCATCTTGTAATTAAAGGCAAAAAAAAAATCCTCAAGGGGTGAGGGGGAAAAAAACAGAGATAAAAGGATGGAAGGAAAAAAAAGCTGACTGGAGTAATGTGCTCCCACCATCAGCTGGGATTTTAAAATCCCTTGCATGCAGTTGCCAGCAGTGCCGCTGTGGGAGGACAGCGCTGAGCGGGTGTCCAAGGGACGCTGTCCCCCACGCTCAGCTGTGGGGCTGAGCGGGCGCTCTGTTCCGGCAGGATGAGGAGCTGCTCAAGTGGCAGGCGATGTTTGAGGAGGTGCCCGCGCAGCTCGCCGACGTGGAGAAGAAGCAGTGGATCGCCAAGCTGAGCGCCGTCTCCCTCAGCTCCGACGCCTTCTTCCCTTTTAGGGATAACGTGGACAGAGCTAAACGGGTGAGGTCATGGCAGGGCCAGGATATGGGGGTGCCTCCATGAAACATCTGCGCAGCTTGTGCTTTTGTTTAAATCTTGTGCAGGCTGCAGGGGAACGGCTCTGCGCTGCACTAAGAGCGCTGGCTAGAGCAGCACGTCTTGGGAGAGATGTTTCTGGTTGTTACTGCTCTCGTAGGGGCAGTAATTATCCAGCCATTGCTCAGTTCGTTGATTAGGGATGAAAAGAGTATTGAAGTTTATTAAGCTGCTTAAGAATAACAAGACAAGGCCTGCTGCTTCCAGAGGAACCATTTTACTCTCACTGCTGAGCTGTGGGGAGAGCTGACTGCTCGTGTGAGGATCTCCCCTGTGAATTGCTTTGGGCAATGGAGGCCTCTGTTTGTTCAGCACTTAGTGTAGTGGGATTTGGTGGAAGACTGGGGCTGCCAGCTGCTTTTCGGGGGATTTTGCTTTTTCATCCTCTAATCCTTCCACTTACCATGGTCTCTGTTCAGAGCGGAGTGCAGTTCATCGCTGCCCCATCCGGCTCGGCGGCTGACGAGGTGGTGATCGACGCTTGCAATGAGCTGGGGATAACTCTCATTCACACCAACCTGCGGCTGTTTCATCATTGAGTTTGCCCTGGGCTGTTGTGGTCCCTCTCTAGTCACAGTCTCACCAGCAGAAGTAACTGGAGCATCACCAGTTAAATTGGGAAGCACCTGCTGTCTGTGCATGATCTGTAAATGAGATCCTTCCCTGTTGCTACCAGAGAAGGAAGGTGCAAGAAGTTGGCCGCTAATGTAGAAATAAGTCTGTTTTACAAATAAACATACAGTCTGTAGCTATATGGAGTCTGTTGTCTTATGTCATCCAAATATTTTGTCTCCTCAGGTGAAAGGTTTATGTTTATGATGTAGTCCTGACTTTAGCAGTTCATTAGGAGCCCTGCGGAATGAAATGAAAGCCTGGCTTGGGGCCAGCTTCTTAATTAACTGATAAAAATCTGGGTTGTAAACTGAACCGAGCCCCCTCTTTCTTTGTTTTTATTTTTCTTTTTTTCCCTTTTTAGCGCCAGCGGGGGTAGCTTGATCCAGGTGCTTCTAATCCATTATTCTTTTCCCTCCTCAAGGAGAGGGGAGTGGGTCCTTTGTCCAAGGCAATCTCTGATTTAGTGCTCTGAAGCCTGCTGGGGACACATGCCTTTGGGTGAGAGAGGCAGGGTCAAATTGCTTTCTCAAAGGTAAAAGACTCATTGCTGCGAGTTTGACATGCTTGTTCCCATACCCAGAGAGTTCAGTGCAGAGTTCAGACACAGGCATCTGGGAAACATCTTGCCTGAAGCCGCTTCCGTTCTCTGTGGTGCACAATTTGCATTAAGCAGATTTTGAGCTCTGATTAGAAAAACAAAGTGCAAATCTGGAGCACAATGAGATGAGGAAAGTAACTGCCCAGACACGTTTTTTGCTGGCAATGGCTCTAACCATTTCAAAGAGATTTTTTTTTTGGTTCAGTTTAATGAAATCTGTTTGGTTTTGGCAAGGAGCAGCCCTCAGTTTTGCAATAAACACTGCTGTCATAGCTCTGATCTCAGCTGGTACCAGACTGCAACTCTGCTCTCGTTCCCTTTGCTCAAGCAACAGCAGGGGCACACAGAGGAGTGGAAGGAACAACCAACCCTTCTGCAGTGTGCTAAGTATTGGTAATTTGTGCAATTTGATGCAAGCTGCTTTTTATTGCCACGTGGCACGGTAGGAAGGAGCACCACTGTCTTGGTCGGGCCTTCCTGTGTGTGTGTACACATATACATGGGCATGTGGCTGCACGCTCATCTCCTGGCCTTCTCCACCTGGTCCTCATCTCTCTGTGGTGGGGGATCAGTGCATGGGCCTCAGCTGGAGGCTGAACATCAGCCTGTTGTGCTGGAGCAGGAGAGGGTGAGAAGGTGCCCTGTGTTCAGGTAGGTGCAAGCTGGAGACCATCTCAAGCTAGTGCTGGCTGCCTAAAGGCTTCTTCAGCACACTGGGAAGCTGATGCCATAACTTGTACGTCCTCCAGGAGGGGGAGTGAGTGCTCAGGGGTTCCTGCAGAGCCTTTTCCAGGTGGGTCAAAAGCCTGGGTAAGGAGAATCCTTTGGGACTCAAGTGAAGGCGCCTGCCACTGAATTTATTTGTGTCACAGCCTGAGGGCAGGCCAGGAAGCACAAGGCTGGCATCAGAAGCTGTCTGAGCCTCGGCACAGACTGCAGGCCTGGAGAGATGATGTTCTCGGACAGACACGAGTGCCCATTCTCCTCCCATGGTCCTTGTAGACCGTGAGCTGCTTGGGACAAGGAGTGCCAGCTCTGGTGGGGTTTAGAGGCCTTCTGTGCGCTCCAGTCTCTGTCAGGTCACCCTCGTGGCACCCCGCTGCGCTGTCGGTTAGCCTGTGCCAGACAAAAGCAAGGCTGCTACAAACGCTGCCTGCCTTTGCTGCTCCTTTCCAGGTTCAGCTCATAGGGGCACCTGCGTGGCTGCCAGGGGTCTAGCAGCGATGTTGATCCATGGTTTCTGCCTGCTGCACCACGCAGTGCTGCACCTGGGAGAGCCTCATCCATGCGGGTGGAGGACGATGGCAGAGAAGGTCTCGACTGCAAGAACGGGAGCGTTGGCATTGCCCGGGGTGAGGAGCTGGCACCGAAAGGTGAGCGCTAGGCTCCGTTGTTCCTTCGCCTGCCTCCCTGCCTGTTTCGTCTAGCCTGGTTCAAGGCAAGCAAAGCAAAGAGGCTTTAAATACTTCCTAGGGCATATGAGCAGTTGAACAGATTGCAATCCACATGCTGTATTTTCCTTAACGCTTTCCTTAACTTGCTCCTCTTGCCCTCCTCATGTCTTAGGCTCCAGGTACTGCTCTGCTGTTGTTACAGCCTGAAAGGGAGCCTTCCCCTCGCTTTCCTTCTTTCCTGAGCTCTACAGGAGGCTATTTCTAAGTGTCTGGATTAGGCAGGGCGCAGAGAAAGGTGGTGACCCGAAATAAAAACGGTGTGTTGCACTGTGGCTCGCTGGTCAGCTGTGTTAACCCCGGCTCTGGCCGCCCTGGTTGCTTTCCATGATGATGCTTTCCACAGTGTATCAGTGTTTGGAGTCTTTCCCATCTTTATCAGCTTGCAACTTACAAGTCGGATTTCAGACTCTCTTCACTGCTTTTCCATTCCTCACGTGACTTTTCTGTCACCCTTTTGATGGTAGCTGGTGCACACCAAGAACCCTGCCATCAGCTTCCCTCAGGTATCTGTTAACCTCTTCTTTGTCCATCTCTTCTAAAGCACTAGCTAAAATAGAGATCGGTAATAAGCACCTGGCCAGCCCCTGGTTTATTCCAGTTTATCATTTACCGCTTGTTTGCTGTCCTTGCTCAGTCTTCTGAGCTAAGTTCATAGGTACTGACCTTCCAGGTAAGATTGCTGCACGAGATGCTAGGAAATGTCTAACTAAGCAGGTGGGATCTCTCTGGGGTTTGTGGGCTTGCTGACTTGAGGAGCTGAGTAAGTTGCAGTCTGTGCACCACATCTTACAGCACCATAGAGGGATGCTCTTATCTCCTGCCATGCCAGCGGGGCCCTGAGATAAGGTGATGTGCAAAGGTCCTGCAGAGTGGGGAATTGTGCCTGAGCATCCCATGTCCCCAGCACAAAGTCCTTGCCTACCTGGCCTTGCTTGTCCAGTTTTTGTCCAACTTGGGGCTGGTGAAAGCCTTTGGTCTAATTCCAGGTGTGAGGAGACCTCCCTGTAATGTGCCCATCAAGGTGGCTCGTCACCAAGGCTGCTGTGACAACTTCAATAGCCTGAAGCCTTCCTCTTGGAGGAAACCGTGTGTGAAGCCAGCAGTCGAGCAGCAGCTATTCCAGACAAGAGCCGTGGGAGTGCGCAGGGCTGGGACCAAGGCTCAAACTGCTGCTCTCTGCTGCGCTCTGAGGTTAAACCCGGAGCTGCCCAAGTGCTGAAGGGGCTGGTAGGAAGTCCTCGCTGATGACTGGAGCAGAAGTGCCCTGAGCTTTCCCTGAGCACAGCAGGCCAGATGAACGGTGCTTTGTACGGTAACGGTTGTTCCCTAGGAGGTATGATGATCTCTTGCTGCGTGTGGAATTAATGACTTTTCCTTTTGATATGTGCAGTGATTAAGAGCTGACAGCAGAGCTCTGCCAGGTAGCTGTTTCCCAGAGCAAAGGGCATTCTCTCTTCACAGGCAGGTTCCAACCGAGTGGACTGGAGCTGATTTTGAAGAGTGGGCTGCTGACAAGCTCTGTTCCGCACGTTGCCATATGGCATCCTGCCCCGGCAGGTCCCTTGCCCGCAGAACAAGAACAGCTCCCAAACGTGTGCAGGTAAACGGCGGGCAGGGTGGCATCACCCTCAGCTTCAGCGGGGGAAGGAAAAGGAAGTCCTGTTGTAGGTTGTGGAGCAGGTAGCAGGAGATTTTTCTTTCCTGACTCTGGTTGGTCCTGACAGGTTCTATCTCAAGCTGATGCTCTGCCTTCTCCAGGAAGGCAAACCAGGTGGAAATATTCCTCCTCCTCCTTTGGAAAAGAACAGCTCAAAGGCTAGCCTACCTTGTAAACGCTGCTGGGCTCGGTGTGGCTGCACGTGCCTTGTTTGCCCGAGAGCACACGACGCCTGGGAGCTCCCCGCCGTGCAGGGCAGGCCCTCTCCTCCTCCTCCTCCTCCTCCTCCTCCTCCTCAGCAGCTGGGAGGAGCGCAGAGCTGCTCTGCGCGGGGAAGGGGGCTCTCAGCCTCCCCAGGCACCCGGGCTGACCCGCTTCCTGCAGCCAGGGCAGCCCCACAGTTACTCTGTCTCTGCAGCACTCTGCTAATGGGCACCAAGCATAGCTGAAAACAAGAGGTTTAGCTGCCCAGCAAAACCAGCCAGCACTGTACTAATGAGTAGTAAACAGAATTTCTATCAGTAATGTAAACCCTTACGTCTCCAGGCACGGATAAGCCCCTACAGCGAGCTTAGGCAAATGCATTGGTTAAAGCACTTTATCCCCTAGTACCTTCTGCAGGGAGAGGGAAGGGTGTTTGTGGCTATGAGATTAAATTGAGGTGATTAGTCGGCACCGTGACTCCGATTCAATTGGGCAATTCCTGTGTGTCTGCAAAGTGAATTACTCAGTAGCAAAGTGACTAAGCTGGATCTTTGCAACTGGTCCCTGGCCCAGCATACATAACCCTCACTTGGAAAAGAGGCATTAACAGAATCGACTCTGACAGGATATTATTTTTCTGTGTCTTGGTCTAAGCTGTTTTTAGTTCTCATATATTTTAGGTACTCGTTTGGCTCCTGAGTATTGCTTGGATTGAACTGATTTCTACTGCAATCATTTTACTATTTGCAAATGTTTTGGTTGCTCTATAGATAGCAATCTGTGAAAACAACTGCCATGTGTGTTTCTCATGTCAAGAAGCCAAATTCTATTTTCATTCTATGCTTTATTCAATCTGGAGAAATCCAGTGACTTGAGCAGTACAGCAATTTTGTAGCCAAGAGAAGAATTTGGCTTGAGGAATCATGACAGGAACCTTCAATGTGCTATATGTGCAAATCTTGCACAAGTTTTGCAGAGCTGGCAGCATAAGCTAAAAGGTCTTAGTGTTAGTTCTGATCATTGTAATCTAAAGTAGCCTTGCTTTTAAAAGGGGTTTGAAGGAGCTTTCATTTAGCCTTTTTTCTCCCCCTCACTATGCCAAGGTAGAAACACATTTCCATGGGTGCCTGTTGCACTCACCAGTGCAACCCTAAATGACCTGAGTTATGGCTTTACTTCCCTTTGCCACGTGGCAAAGGAAGATAGAAGAGTGGGGATTTGAAAGAAGGGTGAGGTAGCACAATCTCTAACCCCGTTGGATGCTCATGTATGTTATCCTCCATCAAAGGACTGCAGAGAGAGATGGAGTCTGGGCTTCCTCCTTAACTGTGGAGGTGAGGCAGGGAGCAGGGGCTCTGCTGACTCCCTTCCAGAGCAGAAGTGATGCTGGGGCTGCAATCACAGCTTATTTGTGATCACATCTGCCTTCAAGCATGTGCCTGGCCTCACTGCCCCTGGCAGCTCTAGTATTTAAAAGCAAGCATGTTCCCAGTGTTTGAGCATCTGGGCAGATGAGGAGGACCAGCTCTTTGCCTGCATTCCATGCAGCACAGGCCTATTTTCTTTTCCCTCCCCCTTCTCTCTCCCTCCTATTCCCACAAAGCTGGCTGACTACCTCTTGCAGCGTGGCATACATACTCAGAGGGTCTCTGTGCTCTACAGGGGCATAGGGGACAGCTGGAAGTCTTTAAGCAACAAACATTCTCTTGAGGGTTACTTCTGCTTCAGAGAGATGTTTGTTCCATCTTGTTTCAAGGCAATGTTACTCCAGATCAGAATAAAGGTCTTCTTCCTAGATTCCACAGTAGCAAAGAGAATCACTATAACTACATATTTGGTTTGTAAATCTTTTTATTAAAAGAGTTGTTTTTTTTTCCTTTTCAACAGTAGTAAAGCTTTGGCACTTACAGTATAAAAATAACCACTGATCATAATTACACCAAATTCCTCTTTGTCAACTGCATACTAAGAGTCTTCAATACATTTTATTCCCATATAAAAACACTTGAAGGTCAGGGGAACAAAACTGATAAATAACAGTATGAGATACAAAGATACAGCTAGAAAAATACTAGGATCATTAAGAAAGAATTAGGACTGTGCATATTTTAAATATCACAGTGATGGGTTTTGCTGTTCCTATCTTATTGCTTGCTGCACGCTTATGTGAAAGCAGAAGTGTTTGGTGGACTTTCCTATGTCTAAAATTCAGTAATGTCATTCTTGTATTTGTTTGTATGCCATGGGAACCTTTAATTTTTACACCCCTCCTTCCCCCTTAATATTTTGATCTTCCACCAATTTGTAATTTAGTTATCTCCCCACATTTTTTTTTTTTTTTAGATTTGAAAATACTGACTGGTATTGAACACTTCGAGCAAAAACAAGGCAATACACTGCTATCAATCATGAGAAAAGTCTGAAACACTCCAAGAGTGGCGCTTGGAGAAGCTGTGAGTTGAGCTTAAGCTGGGAAAATGGCTCCAAAGCCAAGGGCCATTCTGAAAGATGCACTTTGCTAGCATCACTCCAGTTTGGATGGTAAATCGTGGCAGATAGGTATCTATGCTTTGGTTTGTCTGTTGCCATTGCTGCAAGAAGTCTTGCTGGTTGTTACTTTCCCCGTGGATGTTGTGTGTCTGCCTGTACATCTAGGGGCATGAAACACTCAATGGGGCAGTTGACGTTCTGTCAGGAGGGAAGGAAATTGGTTAGTGCTCTGTCCTGGCAGGGCAGACACTCTCGTGTTGTGGTTTTGACTGAGAATTGTTGCCAGCCTGTGTAGCTGTTTACCTTTTCCATCAAAGCACGCAGCTGACTTACAGCAACAACTGAGGACTAGGAGATAACTCCATGCACTACCCCCTCAGCATGCAGGGACATCCCAATTCTAAGTTTGCAACAGCCTCAAAGGTCCCACCCGTGAGAAGAGCAGCCAACACCATGCTTAGAAGCGAGAGCTCCAGCTGCAGCTCTGGGCTGCTCTGCAGGCTCCGAGGTGATCAGGCACTTCTGAACAGGCAGAAAGCTGCACCTTGCTCTGGTCCCTTGAGCCTCACACCCACCCTACGCATTTGTGCCGCAGCAAGGGAGGGCAGAGAGGGATGCTATACTCACTGTGTTTGTAGCCTGATGATATCTCTGCGTGAACTGTGTGTAGGTATGGCCAGCAGAGCCTTCAGGGGCCACCTCCACGCTGGGTCTGCGGCAGTTGTCACAACGCCAGCCCTAGAGAAACAGAAAGCACGTGCACCCGTCAGGCTGCGCTGCTGACGACTGCCCAGGAGCTCCTGCCACTGCCTGTGCCCCCAGCACCCATGAGGTTACTCCCATTTGGTACCAGACAAACCCCTCCTGGATCCATGCCCCCCTTAACTGCTTATGCTCCTGTATTAATTACTTTGCTTACTATAAGGACCTGTTTTGGCCAGTGGAAATCATATGACCTGAAACCCAACAGTCTTAAGACACCCCTCGGACACAGCCCCCTCTGCCCATTCCCATGTGCCAAGCCCCTCCTGCTTACCTGCTGTCCTCCGTAACAAGTACAGGAGCAGATGGCCCCAAAGTATTCCTTCTGCCACTGCTCTCCCACTTGGTACATCTTCCCATCGTCATAGCACGTGGTCTCATCTGTGGAGAAATAGGCACAGCTCAGCTGCTTGGTCTGTGCTTGGTTTTAAGCATTAGTGGCACAATGTGGTGGTCAGAACAGCTGCCTCAGCCCCAGCTTTATCCCTTTTTGGCCAGAGGTTCATTGACTGGCAGGGGGAACGCTGGTTGTTTTTATAGCTCTCTAGACACTTTGAAGTAGAAGCTGGGAGTATTTGCCTGACAGGAGCAATGCAGTCTCATTTATATTACTAAGACTAGAGTATCCTCAAGTGACAGGTCCTGCCAAAGCATCGGGTGTTACTCATTAGGGCGAGCTAGCGAGCTACCCCACCTGCTGTGCTAACATGTCCCTTTCTTGAGGCTCCAGGGCCAAACAGCAGGTGCAGAGTGTGTAACCTTAGCTAGCAAATGAAGATTTTTTTTTTTTTTTAAGTAGAGAAAATGAGTTTCATGCCTGCAGTTCCCACAAGAACCCTTCAATCTGTCACTCCACAAACACGAATCAGACATGTTGATTCTCTGCTCACTGTGGCAGCAGGACCCAAATTTAATCAGAGCAGTCAGGAAAAGCTGACACTTCCTGCCCGGGAGCTCAATTAAATTAATATCAGAAAGTGACTTACGAGGTTCACACTTGAATTCTCCCTTTCCATTTCCAAGGCAGGTGCAGCTCATCATCTGGCCATTCTCTCCCTGTCTGTCCCACTTCTCTCCAATCTTGTAGTTCACCCCATTATCATGACACCACTCTGGAGAAGGCAGAGGAACAAGACGGGTTATTCCACACACTGCAGTGACTAGCAGGAGGAAAACTGCTATTTCAGAAATCAAGAGGAGGGTGGGCAAAGGAATCGTTTGAGTTTGTGTAAATCCCAGGAAGGAAATCCTGCTGGGGGTAGTTTCAGCTCCTGTCGAGTACTGGGGAATGGGTAGAGACTCTAAGGGAAGGAGTAAGTGGGATGTGATGAAAACTGGGTTGGGGAGAAGGGCTGGCTAACAGGAGAGAGAATGAAAGGAATTTAATAGACCTGGGGCAGCAAGAGAAAATACATTAAATGCTCTTGTATTTTTTATGTTTAAGTACCCAGTAAAGTTATATCATAGAGGATGCATAGCACAATGGTAAGTCATGTGAACTGAATGATGAAATAAAATTAGTCCTGTAGAAAAAGTCTTTCCCTGCAGTCACTCCTCTGAGCATATGTAAAGTGCAAAAATGTCCTCATTCTTTAGTTTACTCTCTAACTTAAAAGCACATTTTAAATTAATTGCATATGATGCATTAACCACTCAATTGCTGACTTTTGTTTTATTGCCTTATACGGAAGATGTTTTCCCACATGAACCACAGTCCTAAAATTTAACACAAAAATTTAATGCCGTTGCCGTGGGGTTGCCTCCTTGACAGAGCTTCCAAGAAACACTGACAGAAAGAAAAAACAGACTCTGCAAGATGCTTTGCAAAGGCTGTCTGCAATGTAAAACAGACTCCGGACTCGCTCTTACATTCACTGAAATGCACACAGGTCTGTCTAGCCCCCTCCAATGATGTATATAATAAGGAGAAGAAGATTCAACCATAATTCAATAGTCAAAGCTGTCTTGTTAAATAACTACTTAGATTCTTTCTTTTAGGCATCTAGTTTATCTCACTTTTACATATTAGCTAGACTTACCTGGCACAGATAGGGAAAATAAGAGAAATATTTAGCTTTGGTGCAGAAGTCATTACATATCAATACAATATTGATTGCTTCTGATGCAATGAACTTGCTATTACTAGATAAGCTGCATAGCTCAGAAGTGACCAAATTTTTTCATCACTGTCGGTGATGGAAAAATACCAGTCTGGTTTAAAAAACTAAGAGCCTGCGTTCATTTGCTTCATGTTTGGATCAGATTGGCTCTGTCAAACATGCTATTAGAGCTCAGGAAGATGGATGGTGTAAAGCAAGCTACTCACTAGAAGAATCACATCTGAAATGCCCACTGCCAAAGCCTAGGCACTGGCACCAGAGTTTGAAGCCAGTTTCAGATAATCGCTCCCATTCCTCGCCAATGGAATAGAAGGAGCCAGTGAAAGTATCGTAGCAGGTGTCATCAGCCGGCTGGTTTAGTCCTTCAGACACTGAAATGAATGAAGAGAGGAGAAACAGGTATTAAACACAGCAATAGGAACAACTAAAACTACTTTTTGTGACTCTGTGCATTTTTTTTTTTCTTTACAATATGGTAGTAATGGAGCTACCCCATGGGCATATACTTGATGGCTCTGTCAGCAGCTCAGACTCCCTGTGATTTCTTTTCCATTTGCATGTGTCAGAGCAGCTGAATGACAAAACCTGATATGAAGGCTATTTTCACTTTGATTTGCTGAGTTTCAAGCAAGTGTGAGTTCTTGGCTTTGCTGCTGAAGAGCAGCAATCTGACTTAGTCTGCTTTTAAGAGAAGCATCCTGTGAAATACTGGGGAATGATGTGAGGTTTGTAGGTGCAGATGCACTTCTAGGGGCAAATAATGGACAAGAAGACAGAGCAGTGGAACTGGCTGCCCATGTCTTTCCATCTGCACGATGAGTTATTGTGACAGCAGGTGCTCACTGCTTGACAGGAATCTGACACCAGCATAAACCAGTCTTGAAGAGCAGCAAGTACCTTATCTTGTACTACCTCTTGGACACTGACTGGAGAGAAGTATGTGGAGCCTCAAGCATTGCCTTGACGATTAGGCAACAGAAGATAAGAGCACTAGTGTCACCAACAGTGCACCGCAGTTATCTGAAAGGACCTCACAGACCATTTGGCCCATCCCTTACTTTCCACGTGTTTTCTGTGCCTGAAGAAGTCTCCTTTCAGAACTCTCCCTAAACTTGGGAAGCAGATTGCTTTGGATAAGAAAAACGATACCGAGATAGTAAAAGCTCATGCTGATGCTGCAAAGCTTTTACCTACCAGTATTGCCAACTGTGACCACCTCCTCCAGCACCTTCTGCTTCCGGTGATCCTTCAAGGCTTCCACTATGATGTTGTAGGTGGCCCCCCTCGTAAGGCCAGTGAGCGTGGCACTAGAGGAAGTGCCAGGAACCCTGAACTGCAATGACAGGCAATGCTACATCAGCAGAGAGGAAGGAGTGATTGCTTTTTAGCTTGCAGCCAGATCACAGGAGAGGCTGGCTGTTCAGGATGACTTTTGTGGGGTACACAATGCCATCCCATTCCTTCTACATGTCTACATGTAGAAACAATGGAGTTAAACTTGAGTGCCCTAGAGAGGGTTTCAAAAGCAATGTTATTTCCATTATAAGAACAAGGTAGAAGGGCATCTTTGGCTTGGAGAAGCAGCACTTGAGTCTTTGAAAACTCTCAAGTGAACTCCCAGTGGTCCTTACTGCTCTTTCCATGGTGAAAGACTGACATGGTCAGTGTTTCTGAGGCTTTGTCTTTTAGAGGTTTTATCCAGTAGCCTCTCCCATGAGGAGCATTTAACCTGCACTTTCAGCTACACGTTAATAGGACTTTAAGACAATTCCAACTGCCATCCCCTTTACACAGAGGGCTGGAATCCCAAGAGACAGCAGCTACCATGGCAAGTCTAACACTAAACATACTGAGAAAGACAGTTCAGTTAGTTACCTGTAAAGTATCTTCATCTTGGCTGACCGGCTGACATGAGATGATATATTCAGTACTCTCCAGCAATGGCCTCCAAGAGATGGTCGTTTGAGAGAGGGCTTCTTGACCTGTGGTATCATTGCGCCTGGGCCCTCGAGAGTGAGGGTACGAAGGTTCAACGATGATTGGCACTTGGTACCCAGGGATTTCAATTTTTTCATCTACATTTGGTGGTTGCCGTGCTGACCCAGGCCTAAGGGGAGACGCCGTAGTGGGTACAGGCCGCCTGTAGCCGTGCTCCTCAAAGAAGACTTGCTGACCCTGGTGTCCTATTGTCTGGGGGTGCCCAGACGCGCCTGGAAGCTGGATACCGTTTCCATTGTCATACCTATTGTTAGTGAGGTAAGGGGTCCTCTCGTCAACGGAAGGGACGTCGAGAATGTCGGGTTGATTGGGGTGCGGCCGGGTAATCAACGTGGGAAGATCATCTAGCCAAAGAAAGGTTAGAAGCCATAAAGCAAAGCATGGTAAACAGCCGGAGCGGAGGCTCTTCACCCCTCCGAGCATCAGAGCTGAGCCATCTTTCCAAGATGCAACACACTTTTTATGATCCTATAGTGACTGTTGTGAAGCTAATGATTTCTATCTATACATACATTTATATGTGTCATATAAATATATATATTTCATAGGAAGGCATAAGAAGTGTGTTGGTATGAAATTTTCATACAGCTGAGCATACTGCACCCCAAAGATGCCACTGATGCTCAAACCAGAAAGAAGGCATAAAATTGCAAGAGATATTCACAGATTATCCATTTAAGAAAAATCCCTGGTATGCAGCTAGAGACTGGCTCCTAGATCACATTTGCATCTCCAGCTCTTATTTTGTTTGTCAAAGGGTGTCTCGCTCTCATACTGCTGTAAGGGGCTGAATGGAGGTAATAAATATTTAATGGACGATAAATTAATGGATCCCACTTTTGATGCTATCATGAACTAGAAGAAAATATGAATGTTAATCTTCATGAAATTATAAATTAGGTACCCAGGCAAGTAAACACTAGGCATACTGCTCTTTTCCAAGTGCCTAAATGCAGCCAAACATGCTTCAAATAATTTAGAAATCTTGCCTCCTGCATTCTAGAAAATTCTCTTTACAAAACCTATCTGACCCATTAGAAAAATTCCATGGTTTAGGTGGCATGAACAGGACATTTTAGATAATATTATTTCAGTCCTGAGACTGTATTCTCCAAGGGGAAGACATTATTCTCTCTTTTTGGCACACAGCAATCCTGAGCTTTATTTTACCTGTCCTTTTTCTGCCAATCAGTGGTTCACTCTTTTGATTGTTCTTCACAGCAATAACGTAGATGATGTATTCAGTTCCTGGCTCCAAACCTAGGGAAGGAGGACATAAAACAACCTTGTATTTGAACGTGTGTGGGGCGGGGACTCTCACAATACAGTGGGATAGAAGCGAGCTAGTCCCTTCTCTGCAGTGGCACTGTCCTTTGCCACACCTGCTCAGCTGCATGCCTGGCACATTTGGACTAGGTAAGAGACCTGGGGGTGTTCACAGGATGGAATCAAACAGCTTCCTACTATTTGCTTGGTCCTGTTTAGGAGGAGAAACACAAGCTCTGCAAAGTCTTCTCCTCTGAGTACTAAGATCCAAACTGCATGCAGCTATATCTGCCTTCCATCCCACATATGACCATGAAAGAAAAGCAACTCCCAAGTTTGAGAGAATCTTTGCCAAGTTCAGGTGAAGATCTCCCAAACAAAGCACAGACACGTACCAGTAATTGTAGCCTCTGTGGTGCCAGGCCGAGGACGAGGAAGAAGCTCCTTGGATGGTGAGCCAGGTTTCTCATACCTGATGATATAGCCTGTGATCTTGGCTCGAGGAGGCTGCCAAGTAGCCAGGAGGGAGTTGCTTGTGGTTGTGAGGAAGTTCAGGTTAGAAGGAGCATCAATAGCTAGGGGAAAACCAAAGCAACAAAGTCAAAATGTAGTAAGAGCATGCATATCCTTCACCCTGACTGCATCTTCTGGAAACAAGGTCACCCTTTTCAAATTCAGGAGGAGAAGATACTGCTGTGTGTCACAGTAAGTAACACATGTGGTCAGAGGCAAGGATATGAACATATTCTCCTTGACCATATGCAATTACTATGCATTAAAGTAAGCAGAAAAGACAGACAACATCATTACCAGTGGAGGCATCAATCACTACTGGGGAACTGCGTGCATTCTCATTCAGAGTGTAAAGGTAGATCTTGTAGTCATTGCCAGGTTGCAAGCCTGAAATTGAAGTCAGAATGTAAACGTTAGCTTTTCCTTGCAAAATGAACACATGGCAGGGTATCAGAATGTCTTTCATCAACTTCTTCTTGAAGATTAGACTTACTGACTCAAATGGTTCCCACCATTTAGTCCTGTATTTTTTTCATAAAAGAAACATTACAAAGCGAGAACCCAGTGCATCTTCTGATATCAGTTCAGAAACAGCTGCCTGCTTAAACACCTCACTTACCAGTGATAGTGTAAGTCCTAACATCAGGGCTGATGGTCCTTTGAATGGGGGTCTGGCCACCTGCTGGAATTGCATCAACTTGAAAGCCAGTGATGGTCTCAGTCTTGGTTCTCCAGGTAATAGTGATGGTTGTCTCAGTGGCATCTGTCACACGGGCCCTGCGAGGGGGACTCACATCTGCAGAAGAAGAGGCCTCTTGTCAGTACCCTGGGCATGGTGAATCTCAACCATTGTTTGTAAAAGTCTGTCAGACCTTTGTCTATATAGAGCCCTGCTCTTGGTATGGCCCATTTGATCTCTGCCTCTGGGGCCCTGAACCCAGCACAGAACCAACTGGTCATTCATGGAGCGTCACTGCTTACTTTCAAGAGTGGTGACCACTCCCTGGGCTGGTCGGCTGGTCAGAGAATCCTTCAGGGCATAGACACTCACTTCATACTTGGTTGCCACCTAGAACAGACAGAGTTACACTATGTTATGAGAAAGACCTGACTCAGTAGGAAACATCCCTACCCTTGTTCGGTATTTGGTGGACCCTCCTCAGTCACCGGTTACTTATGAAACCTTGAGACAATCCAATCAGTGAAGGATTAATGACACGATTATAATTACTCTCACTTCTAATAAGCAAGAGATTACGGACCGCAACGAACAGTACTGTTTATTATATTAGTACTGCACGTGTGCACACAGGACCAGAGGAAATCCTGGAGGAAGGCCGTTTGTCACCCCAAAATTTTGAGAGCCCTGTAATTCAAAGCTAATTATTCAGGAAAAGATTACTTAAATCCTGCTATGATAAAGTGTTCTTGCTGTGAAGAAGAGAATGGTGGAAATTGCAGCAAGGTCTTCAGTCCCTGACTGCCTCAAACCAAGAGTCCACTTAGACTGCATTTGAAGGCTTGGTTTTCAAAATGATTCACAAAACTCCTTAAAAACAGATCAGTAGCTTTAAGATAGCAGGAACCATTGAAAGCACTGATTTTCAGCTTTTTCCAGTATAGGGACTTCTGAAGTGTTTCCAGCAGAGAAGATGGCTATATAGCAAATTTAAGACTACTGGAGAATAGCTGATCTTTTTTTCTTATATTTTCCAAATGCCTTAGAAATATACTGCCTGAGCAATAGACTGACAGAGCTTCCTGTATAAGAGCTTAAAAGTCAATGCATTAGGTCATTTTATCTGACCTCTGGTGAAACATAGGCAAAAGTGGCTTACTACATTCCTGTTGATTTTAAAGCCGATGATCAGCATTCGATTAAGCCACCAGCCTCCCCTAAATAAGGAAGTGGAAGAATGCAGATTCAGCATCCTAATTCCTTGTCTTGTAACGGCTGTGATAACTCAGTTACAGGTGACAACTAGTCTGACTTCAACCAGACCCTTAGGAGATGTAATGATCTACTTCAGCTGAGGTTTCTGACGCAGTAATTTTAAATTGAAGGAATTTGAAATTGCTTTAGGTTTTCCCAGTATTTCCTTCCCACAATACAGTCCATAATAGACAAATAGAAGAGTTACCATTAATCCAGAAACAGCAGCAGATGTACTGTCTGGAGAAAGGTTGATTTCTTTCATGGGACCAGTCTTTTCTTTCGGATTCACTCTAACTCTGTAGCCAGTGAGACGAACGTTTGGTGCGTTCCAGTTGACTGTAAAACTAGTGGGAGTTACCTGAGTAAACTTCAGGTTTGTTGGAGGAGGAATTGCTGTGAAAAATCAGGATTGGCACATGGTTAGTTTGACGACAATCTCAGCTAAAGCAATATTCTTTCCTGAACGTGAAACAGTTCTAGGCCTGAAACATCTGGGCACGAGTAGTGTGGAAGTGGACAAGGTACTCAGGAGGAGACTTTCTAATCTGTGATGACGCTTTTCTGCGGAAATAGGGATGTGTTTGTGTTTCCAAGTAGGTGAATAACCTGGCTTGCTGTGATATAAGGCAAAGGCTCTGGGAGGCAACTACAAGTGCATGGGGCCAGACTGTTTCAGTTGCTCTGCCTGTCTCTGTTCTTCATCACAAAACTATTAGTTTAGCCCTGCTTCACTTGCCTATCTCCACTGATTTCTTTAATGTGATCGTTGATTTACAAAAGGAGGTAGGAAGCAGGCTCAGGAATTGCAAAGAAGGTATAAAAATACTGCCAAATGCAGAGAAGAAGCATTTTGCAGCCACTTAAAATAAGTGTAAACTACTACTCAAAGAGCAAGGCACTGGAAAAGCAGAGCTATGATAGCCATAAAGCTCATCAGTAAGAGTCTGGTCATGAGCTAATACATGTAATATCTTTTTTAAAAAAAACTGCTTGGGTTAAAATAAATCAAATAAAATCAATTGAAATGTTTTCTAGCATTACTGTAATGCTAAATAAAATCAATTGAAATGTTTTCTAGCGTTACTACTTGTAACCCTCAGGCTGTAATCAGGAAAGAATATATCTTACCACAGTACCCACTATTAGCATGTTGCTCCTTTCTACTTTTGTAGAGTAGAAATACAAGATAATTCTCCTTTGCTTTTCCCAAACAGTGCTCCAGACAGGCAGTGGAAATTAAAGTGACTTCAAACGCTTTTGAACAGGCCCACAAAGGGTAAACCACAGAGAATGAGATTTAAATATTATGTGCACTCATGGCAGGCAGTTAGCCAGCTCAGTCATTCTGGCACTTTGGTTTAGTTTAGAACAGCAATCTGCACACTACAAACAGCCATCTTCATTGCATCCCTGGCATTACAGTGCCAAGTTTTCATCCACAAATGAATGGAAGAATTTTATTATAAAGGTGCTACTGTGACATGTCTGGCAATGCAGGAAGCCTTGCAATGAATTTCATGCTGCTGGCAGTGTTTCTAGCTCAAGGAATAGTTTCCAACACTGAGCTGGATCTGGTTCTTATGTAAGAGAGAGCTTTCTCCTGAATGGAGCTTGCCCTTATCTCCCTGAGGAGGTGATGTGAATGGCAGAGTGCAGGCATGCAGGGAGGCTGGGGTCCTTCAGGCAGCAACAGTGAAGGATCAAAAGGCTCTGTGGGGACTGAAGGTTAAGCAATCTGAGCGCTTCACGCTGATTTATTTATTTATTTGTTCCAGCTAATAGTAGGAAATTAAAGCTGCCCTGCTATCTGTTGCTGGTATCCTGCCCTGCTCACAGGTGCCCCATACTCTAAAGACAAGCTGTGGCAGAAGGTTTTTCGCCCTACATCAGACTCCTCAACTAGGGGCCAGGCACTGCTGATCCATGGGAGGAGGCAGTGAGATAACGTCCCTCTGTTCTCTAGAGTCTGCTCCTCCAATCCTGCTCTCTTGTCTTCCCCAATGTGTACAGAGGCCAACTCCGCCAGCAGTGAGCTCTCCAGCCCAACTATGCTGTTTCTCCAAAGCAATCACATCCCCTTGGCTGCCCTTGTGCACCGGTTGCATGTGGAAGCACTGCACCCAGCAGAGCAGAAGGCCCTGCTGCCATGGCCTGCTGGGTGCTGGAGTTGAAGTGTACCTGTGGACTGGGTCCCAGTGAGGGGCAGGCTCTCCATGTCATCGTATATGGCAACGATATTGATAGTGTACTCAGAGCCTGGCCTGAGGTCATGCAGCTCAGCAGTGTCTTCTTCGCCACCTGGGGCCGGCAATAGCTCATGGATTCCATCCTCAGGGCTTGAGTAGGTCACCTTGTACCTGGTGACTTGCCCCTGTGGGCTTTCCCAAGCAATTTTGATGGAATCAACATCCACCTCAGTGAATGTTAGTCCTTTAGGGCGGTCAATGTCTGTTAGGCAAATTAACGGTAAGAGGTTAAGTGATAAAAAGCAGGTTGTAGGCGAGGAGAAAAAAAAAAAAAAAAGCATTTCTGCTACATGCAAAGCAGTTTTTTGGTTTTGCGCAGGAGAGGGGCATGTGATTCTCCTCTGTGCTGCACCTTGCACACATGCTTACGCTTGTGCAGAGCAAGCCTGAGAGTCTGAGAATGCCACAGAGCAGGAAGACAAACCTGGTCTTGTCAAAGCCAACAGGACTTGCACCACTGACTTCAAAGCAGCCAGGACCCTGACTGCGTACAGCAAGGCCCCCTTGGCTCTGAAGCCCTTTTACACAAATTTAGCAGCATCAAGCCACCTTCAAGTAGCCAAGAGAAAGAAAAATACAGCCTCTTCCTAGTGCAAAAGGCAGTCGGATAATCCACCTGACTGGGTAGATTCAGATACTTGCTGTATTTGCCTTTTACTGTTGTAAGCTGCTGTGCAAAGTGCCCGCCCAAGGAGAACCAGTCCCACTATTTTCTTTCATGAATTAATATCCAATTAACACACTTATCAAGAGAGCAAATTACATCATATAATTTAAAATTAACAGTTAGAACACCTTTTCAGCTTTGTAATGAGCGCACAGGGAACATCTGCAAATCCATCTGGGTACTACACACACCTCCTAGGCAGTCACTGAATTTGTCTAGCAAGATTGGAACTCAGTGCTAGACTGCAAGGTAAGTGAGCCTTGCTCCAAGGAAGTTTAGCATGGCTATGAAGGAGCTATTCCCATTTGTTACACAAATGGAAGGATCAACATATCATTTTTATGCAGGATCCAAATTATTCTTTTCTGTAAGATTCCAACTTTATTTGCTGTGTTATGTTAGTTCTACATTCTCTAGTTGGCAAAGGTGATTTTTCCAGGAATTTGCTCGGTTTGAAATTGGTGTCACTGTCTTTTCCCATTTCTGCAAAGCTTCAGGGAAGCTCCTTTTGTCTTCCGTACAATTCTATAATCAGTTGGGGCTGAGCTGCGGTTTTAGAATACAAACCTGAGCAGGGGAATAATGTGCAGAAAATGCCTTCCCCAGGGGTGTCCTTGGGAAAGGCACTTGACATCAGAGACATCTCTGACTTGCATGTTCCTTCTTGCCCAGAGGAACACTGCTGTTTCGTACAGGGAGGTATGTCAATAGAAGGGCTTTCTTTGCAGTGCCCAAGTTTTCATTAACTCACACATTTTTTATTCCCTTGCAAAGGCTAAGTGCTCTCAAATCCATTCCAGCCTTTCAATAGGAAGGAGATAAAATCACCTCTGCCACCTAGCTCCAGAAGAGAGATCTTTGCACATTTTTCCCCCTGATTGGCTGAAGGCAAGCAAAACTCAAAGGCTTTGCAGCTTTAGGAAAAGAAAATCAAAAGCGCAGCATTTTGGAGGTGAGGATTGCATTTTGCCAGCAATTTGGGGGAGAGGGGCTGCATTTTTTTTGGCAGTTTCTGCAACTTAGGTGCATGATACTTATCACATAAGCCAGATACTTTGCACTCTCCTGGAAACTAGGCATCTGCTAGTTGCTGTAACTTAGAATCTGATACTTCATGGTAGATTTGATAGAAAAAACACACAGCTTTGCTACTGTGAAGTGAAATACGTACTGGTGACAGCTGTCTCGACCAAGGGGAGGCTCTCTCCATTCTGATTCTGAGCATAGACGCTGACCACGTACTCGACTGTGGGCTGCAGACCTTCAATAGTGACTTCTGTTTGATCTGGCAGGAAAAAACAACATTGGCTTAATTTGGAACAGAGACAATATTAGCTCCTGGTGCCCTGTGCCTTCTCTAACAAGCAAGCTGGAAATGGTTGTAAGGGAAAAAAAGAGGCTATGGAGAAAATCTTCTCTTCTACCACGAGAAGCCTTGTGTTAGACAGCAGAAGTGCTAGAGAGTGCTACAAGAAGTGAAGCAGTTCTTATTGCAAGACTCAGGTGCCCACCCAGCCACAAAGGAGTTTCATGGGGAAAATATCATAGAGGCCCCACTTCATGTGCAAGTTCTTTTGCAAAAGGCACAATTAACTCAGTGACCAGGAAAATCCCAGTGCACCTGCAATTCTGTTTAGAGACTGCAGCATAAGCACTGTTTTCCAAACAGTGCTTCACCTTGTATTTTTATGCCTTTAAGGCCTTATCCTTTGCACAGCTTTTCCTCTTCCTCCAAGCTTGCCAAGGGGAGGGGACGGCAACACCGACAGGCTCTTCCACATTTTACCTTGTTCTTTGCCCTTTGTGTGGGTCTTCATCTGGACTAAGCTACAGAGCTCTGGCCTCTAAGCAGACCAGAATGAGAGGCTGATATGAGCCATTTCATGATTAACTGTCATGAAAGTGACTTAGATTTGACAGCTCTGGTTTAATTTTTGCTTGTATTACGCCTCTCTGACAGTGTAGGACAAGAAATTTGCAAACTCTACCTGCTCAAAAGCCCTACAGCTAAAAGGGCAGGCTAGCACAGTAGGGAGGAAGGAAAACAGAACAAAGCAAACCCAAGAGGAGATCAGCCTTCATTTTCTGGGATAAGATTGAACATTAACCCAACTGCTCATGCAGTTGCGTATCCCCAAGTGCTAACCCCAGCAAATCTCACAAAAAACAACTGAAAGCATTCCTGTGAGCAAACTGAGAACTGGCTGGCAGACCCCTTCAGGTAGAAAGGTCAAGCTTGTGGCATGCACTCAGTCACATACACTATCAAGCCACATTCAGAAGGACTTCTGAGGAAGTTTTGCTGGATGCTAGAAAATCCAAGGGTGTTCCCTTGAATTCCAGATGCCTCCTGGAGACACGGAGGTTGCCAAGATCAAAGCTTTGCAGTAGAGCTGCCTCAGAAATGTAAGCCTTACAGGGCAAAAACTTGCCCCAGCTTATCCTGGATGAGACCCTACTGCAATCAGGAGGATGGCAAAGAAAAGGAGAATTTAGTTTAGGGCATATGCCAAACACTTGATAGTGCCAATTTTAGCTGCCACTTCTTGGATTCTTTATAGACCTGAAGAAGGATGCAATGTGTCCTTACCTGCAGGAACACTTTTAGTCTTTGTGGGCCCATGTCCCTTCTTGGGGACAGCTGTCACCCGATACCCTGTGACTGGGGAGGTTGAAGGCAGCCATCTGACACTGATGCTGTTGTCCTGGACGTCCGTTACCTGCATCTGGGATGGTGTGTCTATTTCTAAGCGTAAAAATAAGCTCTGTGAGTATCTGTGCTGGAGGAAATCCTCCCTCTTCACCTCCTCTCTAGTGTCTTGCCCCCATGGTTAGCTTCTCACTGAATTTTGTTCTGCTCTTCCCCAGCCAGGCTTCAAAGGGTCTCCCTCCTCCAAAATCCAAGTCCACATTTCCCTTCTGTGTCACCTCAGCATGCCAGGCCACCATGACATGCAACACTACTGAAAATGATGGGCTAATAACACAGTCCGTGACTTCCAAAAGAAACTAAGAATCAGTGACACAACTTCATGGGACTAAGCCATGGGGCAGTTTTGGTTTGGATGTTATTATTATTTTTTTTATCTCCCCATTTAGTTCTCCTTCTCCCCTCTCTCCCTCTCACCTGTTTTGTAGGTGACAGTGACTGGCTTGCTGCTGGCAGGGCTGTCTCCACGGCCAGTTACTGCATACACAGTGATGGTGTAGTCAACTCCAGGCTTGAGGCCACTGATAGTAGCAGTAGACATGGTGCCAGGCACTGTAAACTCCTGGACAGGGCTACTTCCACCTGGGGAAGAGGGGGTAGAGAAAGCAAAGTAATGCATGGCTCCATTTTACACTTTTTTTTTTTTTTTGGTAAAAACAAAGATCTCATTCATGTCAGTAGATCTTGAGTCAGTCTCCTTGCATCTGTTCCAAGGAATAAGTGAAATAGACAGATTCACCACAGATCCACCACTACAGTGACTAAAGTAGTCTAGATGCAGTCATCCTTCTAATTTGCTCTCTCTTAAAAAGAAATCTTACACTTGAAAGTCTTCTCTAAATGTGTGGCAAGGACCTCAGAGCCCTGAGGTTATTTTGTCCGCTGCAGACTTGCGTCTGCCATTTTCTGTGACTTTCAAATGGCCTCAGGAAAGAGCCTGTGGTCAGTGCAGGCAATAGCAGCCTGGCCTCACCTGTTTCGCCGTAAGTGATCCGGTAGTATCTGACTGTCACTGCAGGAGCATCCCAGGAAATCACGAGGCTGGTTGGACTTGTGGGGGTGACTTCGAGGTCCCTTGGAACATCAGACACTAGAAAATCAGAATTTAAAGAGTTTAACGATTAACATATACCAACTAAAAAAATCCTTCTGCCCCTAAGATCTGTTGGCATGCTCTGAAAGTGGCATGGGTCCTCCCACCTCACACTGGATCAGGCCCTCTCTCAATATCAAAAGTGCTTTCTTCATGAACACAGTTTCACCAGCTGGAAGGGAAGAACTGCCTTAACCACAACTGCTTTGCTAGAGACCCCAAAGTCCCAAGGTAACTTTTCAGAGTCTTTTCTCAGGGCTTACCCGTTGTTTGCTGGCCAACCAAGGGCAGACTGTCCTCCCTGCCGTTGACAGCGACGATACTGACCACGTACTCGGTTCCTGGCAGCAGGTTGGTGAGGGTGACGGAGCTGCGGGAAGGCGGCACGCGGTCCTCCTTGGGCCTGCCAGCAACGTGCTCCGGGTGATACCGGAGCTTATAGCCCGTAATGGAGGCACGAGGAGCAATCCAGTGAACAGTAAAGGAGTTGGCGGTTATATCCGAGAAGTCGAGGCCACTGGGGGAATCAAGACCTGGGGATTTCAAAGAGATGAAAGACCGTGCTCAGCTGAACTGCTGGTCAGCATCACCTCACTGCAATGTCGTATTGCATTAAGCTTTGTGTCAAGCCAGTGCCAGACCTTAAGACAAATGCTAGTCAGCTGAGCAAATAAACACATTAGGATCAGAGATAAACAAGCACTGTAACACAACTGCATAATGCACACCAACTGCTCTGCATCTGGACTCCTGTCTAAATCAGGAACCTGGCAGGTTTTAAAGTTTGCTTACAGCCACAAGACAAGCACAGCATAAAACACCCATGACCAACACACTGTGACCAATATGCTATTTCTGTTACACAACTAACTGCAGGAAGACATGGTGATGGACACGTTATTGTCAAGCCTCAAGACACGCAGACAGCTCCTAGGAGAACGAATAGCAAAACTCTGCTGAGGCTTGTTCTTGGACAGATGTAGTTGGAAGTCACAGAGAGGCCTACAATGCCCATTTAAAACCAACAGAAGATCTGTTTTTCAGATATGATAAAATAGGAGATTCCTCCAATTTTTCAGGATGGAAATTTACACTTCTGTTTGGTGTCTCATTGCTGACTCACGAACAAGGTGACAATACACAGCAAGAGCAGCAAAGTGACATTAACAGACACTTAATGGATGACATTAACTGTTAATGTAGCTCAGGATGAGTTTAAGTACCTGTTTTCTGGATTCCAGACAGAGGTGCACTCTCGTGTTGCTCAGAAACACTGTAGACTCTCACCAGATACTCAGTACCAGGCAGCAGATCTGTGGAGTTGAAATGATTTAGACATTTTTCTTGAGATCTTTACTTATGGATGGAAGTCTCTTGAAAAATCTATTGCCATTTTAACTATATTTCTTATAAGTGTAAAGGGAAAAAAATTCCAAGATCTGGCGGGTGAAAAATCTGAGCCTCAAGGATAGTCAGAAATTAAAACTATTTTGTGGCTTTCAGGTTATTTGCACTGTTTCACGCTGAAGCAAGCAGCATGGCATCCTGTATCACTGCTACAGAACTGGTCCCCTGTTCTAAAAGTGGATTTTGTGTCTCACTCAACCAACCTGGTTTCTAGGACAGTGAAAAAAGAAACTTTAAAACAGTTTTTGCACCAGGTAGAGCAAACTGATGTCAGATTTTTGAAAAAAAGTCAGAGTCTTGTTGCCATGTCCTGTAAGGTTCCCAAAAGTATTTATTTTCTTGTCCTAAACATACAGAGTCAATGGAACAATGACCTTTTGCATATTCTGATCCATTCCCCGGATCTCTGCACATAAAGTCCTTGACATTTTTGTCAAACGAGGAGAGTAGTATCTGTTTGCTCTTAATACCTAACCAGGCTGTAAATCAAAGCAATTTCCCCAAAGCCTGACTCATCACTGTCCTTGGATTAACCAGAAAACTTACTGTGGTTTGGCTTTAACTTGGTTAAAGCAAATGGTCAAACACCACATAGTACAAGTTTGCATGAGGCTACTTTGACAGCAGCTTAGATGGCTGAGAATAGGGGCAATTATACTGTCCTCCAAAAAGTGCAATATACAAAGCTTCTTCATGTTTCCCAGGAATTCGCTCTAGTTTGGGATATTCAGTGAAAACATTCATGGGGACACTGCTATCCCACCCCTCAATTCATGTTTATTTGCAGCCAGGAAAGCTGCACTTGCCCCTTCCCTTATGCCATAGTGTGCCATTATGCACTAAAAAAGAAGTCATCTAGCTGTTATAAACAAGAAAAAGAGCTATAACCCAACAGACCAGGGCTCATGCAATAGGAGGGGTCTTACATTTGTTGGCTTACATATATAAACCTTCTTACTTGTTAAAATCACCATATTGTCCGAGGGTGAAATTGTCAGCTCTGCAACATCTTCCTCCTTCTTCACAGGCGAATAGCGCACCAGGAAGCTGCTCAGCACGATGGAAGCTGGGGGCGTCCAAGTCACCCGCATGGTGTCAGGCCCCACGTTGGTGAAGCGGAGGTCAGTGGGAGCAGGCACAGCTATGTACAAAGAGCAAATAAATCTCAACTTGCTCTCCCGGTCAGAGCTGATCAAGATGCTTGTTCAGGGAATCACTGGAGAAGCTAATCTCATGCATAACAGACTACGGAGTCAGAACCATGCAAACAGGACCTCTAAACTATGTTGGTTTTACTACAGTTAGAGAAAAATGTCTGCACTGCTGTCAGGCTTCTTTAACCTCTTGGCAATTCCCAACTCTTTAAATATACCCTGCGGGATTAATTTGAATAGAAGGTAGCAAGTTTCAGTAACATGCTCCTTGCAGCTGGATTTCACATTACAGACACAGAGCCAAGAGAGGCTTAAAGTTGCCACACAGCAGCTTACAGATGGAAAAGTCAACTTGTCTACAATTCATACATGCACACACAGAAGAGGAGAGGCACTTCACTAATTTCCTATGACTCTACTTCTACTTGTGTTGGAAGGTTTACAGCCTCGAGATTCAGACACAGTAAGATTTCATGCAAGACCCAGTTTTTGACTCGCCTTCTGCCCATGCATTATGAAGACCCTCGACGGTGTGACATGGCTGTCAATGGCATGTGCTCAGGGAGGGGTGTTTCACCTGCATCTTTGAGGGCATTGCGGAAAGAGCGGGGCCACCAGCAAAACAGGCTGATGACTTAGCCAGCCATCAAGGCTAGGGATGGACTGGAGGGTGTCTGCTGAACTGCCTCCACCCTCTGGCACTCATGCTTTGGTGGAAGTCACAATTTAAAAGCCTGGCAATTATACAGCTCGAATTTCAACTTTGACTCCAAATGGATCCCAAAAGCCTGAGCAGCCAAACATGAATGAGCCTGGCAGCTCTGCAGCCATTTGCAGTACTAAAATGCCACAAATCAGGAAACAGAGTGCGTATCCATCCCCAGCTGCAGTTTAGAAACAAGAGGGAGCTGGGTCTGTCTGCCCTTGCCCCATGGGCAGCCCGTTCCTCTTTGGACAAAGCCCTGTCATCCCAACAGCTAGTGACAGCATGAAACACCGTCCATGTCACGAAACACGAAGTTTTCAAAATTCACCCGTTTGCTGTGTCAGAGTGGTAGGGGCGCTCTCTCCGCCATTAATGAGTGTGATTACACTGATGTCGTAATCAATGCCCGGCTCCAAGCCTGTGACTGTGTAGTATCCTACTGAGGAGTCCACAAAATCTTCAAAAATAGGGACACTTTCTCCTGCCGCAACTACAGTGATGCGGTAGCCAATAATGGTGGAGGCGTTTAACGGGGTCCACCTCAGGCCGATGCTCGAGTCAGTTATGTCAACAAAGCTTAGGTCAGTGAGTTGGGGCACCTCTAATAAGTTAAAGAGCAAAAAGGGAAAGGCAGAGACATACGGGGCAAAAGAAAGACAAGGGAGAAAAAAGCAGTGGTCATCACTATTAACATTGATGAAACTTGAGAAGCAATTGAGGTGATATGCAGATTTTACCTTGGGTTTAGGGAAAAAGGATTTTCCTTTTGGTGTTTTTATCACACCCTTCTAGGCAAACCCCAGCTGCCTGCCAGTGCGGGCAGAGGCTGAAACCCAGTTGTCCTGAGATAAAGTACTTCCCACTTGAGATGTGCAAACTTCAGAAAGGCCTAAAGCAAGCCAGGTGCTGAACTTGCATCAAACTTGCTTTGAGCAATGATGAGACAGACCCATCTTTTTCTGATGAAAATATAAAGGAAAAGTTCTGTTTGTTTGCACATGAGAAAATACGAGGAGTAAGAACCTTTTCTTGCCCATAACATACAAGTAAAACAAACTCTTCTGACATATTAGTGATTCACTCAAAAATTGAGTTGTTCAAATGTTAGGTTTAACTTTTATTCTTTTGATCTTAAAGATATGAACCCACTAGAAATGGCTAAACTGGCCTAGACCATCAGCTAGGGAGAACCCTTGTAAAGCTTCAGTTGAGTTAATCCAGTATCCAAACTATTTACACTGGACTTGGAAAAAATCTCAAGTCCCTGTAATGGCTTGAGGATCTGGCCCAGAGTTCAAGTTCTACTTACCACTAACTGCTGCAATTACATGTGCTAGAAGAGAGAGTAATGAAACACTTTCTTCAAAAAATGGTTAAAAGTCATGCTTTAGGTTGCGAGTACTCCATAAGAAAGTCAAAACATCCCCATATTCAGAGATTATGCCCAGCATGTGACATGGCCAAGAAGATGGATTTCTGAGCTAAACTCAAAATCTCAAAGCTGAGCCACTGAGTTAGGATCCTCTTTACTAACCTTCTAAATATTGCCTAAACTTCTGCATGGCAAACATGCCCAGCTGTGACTGTTTTGCCCATGGATATTCTTTCTATAGCAAAGCTGTTCTTCTCCTGCATGCTAGGACCAACAGAACTGGGGGAGAGTTAACTGCATCTTTAATCTACAATGGCCAAACCCTCAGCTGTTCAAATCAATAAATTTGTATTGATTTAAACCACAGGATTTGGCTGCATAACTTCAGCAGAGTGATCCTGAAATCAAGGGGAAGAAATGGGTATTCTTCCCCACTCAGGATCAGATACAAATGTGTGAGTCAAAGATGGAGGATTCCGTATCCATTCCATTGGATCATTACAAGTTAGCTTGAAAAGGAATTATGGGATAGTATTATTGGAAAAAATTGACTTTAAGAATGGTTATGTTTTATTTTAATGCCCTGCTGTGGAAAAACACTTTTTTTCCACAGAATAAGTGCCAAAATGCTTCTTTTTCTCTAAAATCATTTTTATCCACATGGAATGCATGTATCATATCACCTTTAGAGAGTGCTAAAAGCCAGAGACATACATTTAGCTCTTTTTCCCCCACCAGAAGATGGGGAAGGGTTAAAGCTTTAATCACTGCTTTCATTAGGCAGGATCACAGTATTAGTTCTCTCACAGGGAGCATACAGCACCTCAGTGAAGCATGGAAATTTTAAAGCAGCGTTATAAGAGCAAGCAAACACGATAGCTGGCATCATTTCAGGGCTGAGCAGAAACAACAAACAAAGCCCTCAAAGGAACGTGAAATCAAGCCATCTGACGAAGATGGACATTAATTTTGCCACTGTGGTGACAAAGGGAGTTTTTGCAGCCATCTGAGCATGAGGAAACACACACTGCTGGTGTCCAAAAACTGCTAGGGAAATGGAGCTTCCCACCTCAGGTCTCCTCTCCTTGTTTGCTGCTAGAAGTTCTTTTGCTTGCTTCCCACCCACACTCCACTTTCCTACTTGCCATGACCGCTGGCTTGGCTCCAGATGTCAGGCACTGCAAAGCCAGGCCAGATCTTTGTCACACAGCTTGGTACATGATATGACAGATCCGTCTCCCCTACACACCCGTCTCTGGACTGACAGCATAGGCTGCTCAGCCAGAGAACTAAGGGGTATAGACTGCTTTGTCCCTGGCATGTGGCTATTCTGCTTCTGGAGAAGAAATGTGATGTTCAAGCCCTCTACCAGAGTAATGGAAGTTCTGCAGTGCAGAACTCTGTCTTAATTTATCTTTGAGTGGCTGAAAATGCTGCCCATCTTCTGTTACCTTGTGTGATGGTTTTAGAGATGGGGGTGCTCTCCTGGTTGTCCTTGACCGTGTACACGCTGACGTTGTACTCCACACCGGGGCTCAGGTTTTCAAAGGTGCAAGTGGTCTGATCTGCATCCACTACTTCCTCCAAGGTATAACCCTGCTGCCCGCTGGTTGGAACAGTGGTAACTCGGTACCCACTGATGCCTGAAATACAGTTAACCAATATGCAGTAATCCCATTACTGCTGGATTTATTTGCATTAGTCCTTAATACAAAGAGCTGAAGGGAACATTCCATTTAAACAAGATTGCCACTCTAAGCCCAGCAGATAAGAGATTGCTTTGTCAAGTACCCAGAAACGGCTTTTCCAAGAGGCAGCCCTGCCACTCACAGCATTGTTTTTGTTCCTTCTGAAACTTTTTCAAGCTGAAAATCTAGTGATATAAGATAAGAAAAGATGCATCTTCTGGCTGGGACTGGGATATTCAAAGGCTTTCAAAAGTCAATTGTACAACTCCCATCTGCTTCTGTAAAAGAAGAGTTTATCTTGAATTCTTTCAGAAATCCCATCCTCACTCCCAATGGCATAGACTCATTCTTCACTGAGGGAAGTGCTTTTGGTCTACATTGCTTTCTTTCCCCAGACTGTTGTTAAACCCATGGGGATATTTCAAGAAATCCTTCAAATCTCTAAAGTAGCTGAAATATTTAAACACGTTCATACTCCAAAATACCATTCTATATGGAATGTAAAGCATAAGAAGTCCTACTGTAATGTATATATAACTGCAAAATATCGCCTTAGATGGATCCAAAAATCTTTACTTTCTTCTTCTCTCAAGTGATTCGGTGGCAAATTTCCTGTCAAAATCTGCTTAAATGAATTGTAAAGCACTGTAAATTTTGCCATTTTGGTACAAAAGAGAGTTGGAGCATATTGTAAGTGCCATGTACTTACCTGGAGTTGTGCTTCTATCCCAGGAGACTATCAGAACGCCGGTATCGGGATTGGGCTCAAGATGCAAGTTGGTTGGTGGTGACAAAGCTGCAAGCAGTCAGACAAATGGTTCATTAATGGCAGTGAGATGCAGACAAACTCTCTCAGCATGCCCTCTCTGCAGACTATATCCTCTCGCTTTAAAGTCAGCTAAAAAGAATCTCATGAACGTCCCCACATTGACTGAACCAGTGCTATTATCACCTACGTGCCCAAACAACAAACACCTCAAACAGATGAGGTGAAAGGGCTACAACTGCCATGTCCGGCTATTCATCTAGGGAGCACATGGGAACCACATGCAAAGGACAACCACAGCAAAGCAAACGTGTCATACGTGTAGTCACTCTCCTGATGATGGGAGTCTCTCTCTCCTGGCCATCCATGAGCACCGTGAGGCTGTAGGTGTACTCTACTCCAGGGGTGAGGCCGGATATCACGATGCTGCCGGAATCGGAGATCACCTCCCGTGGAGCCTCTCCACCCTGGCTTGGGCGCACGCCCAGCTGCAGAGAAGCCACAAACAGGTTCAGTCTCAGAAGCTCCTGTCTCATGAGCTATCAGCATTCAGATGCACCATCCAACAAGAGCAGCATGGTCTGCAGGCTTCACACCAAGTTTACGTTAATCCAGATCTTGTGTTTTAGGTAACCAATGCTCAAGTTGGGTTGTTTCCCTATCCCAGGGGTGTGTACCTTAGGGGTACAAGCCTTCCTGGACCCACTAGTACAGAGACTGGAAGCGTAACTACAAAGGATGGCAAGCCTTGGTTACAGAAGGTCTCACTAGTGAAGGTGACCTGAAGCCCAGACACATATCTGCATGATTCCTAGTGATCTCTGTCAGCAACATGTCTTTTGCATCTCTTCCCTTTGTGATACTATCGTCAGTGTGGTCATCAGCTTTAATTGATCCTCCCTACCCCTGTTAAGCAAGAGTAAAAGAAACAAGGGACTTTGTTTTTCCATACCTTGAAGCCAATCCTTGGGGCAGGTGTCCAGGTGATGACAATGGAAGTCTCAGTCACTTCGGTGTTAAAAGGAGGAACAGAGCCAACAGGCTGATCTGTGAGGTGAATAGACAGAGTTACAATCTAGTTGCTGCGATGTCACTGAACCATTGGCAAGCCTGACTCATAGCAGTGCAAGCAGAAAAAAATGCTCCATTTTTATTACTTTTGAAAATCAAGTGGTCAGGGAGGACCTGACAGACAATTTCTGCCTGCTCATAGCTTTGATAGACCAAATATGCAAATGGTTTAATCACAGCTGGTGTTGGCTTTCATCCTGAAGAAAACTAAGTCCTAAAGCATGTTAAGTCCTCTGTCCATTCAACCCAGGATTTTGAGGTATGTTGTTCTTGGCACAGTACGTAAACAATTTCTCAAAGAACAGATTTCCCCTTCACCCACCATTTGCCACTTAAACAAATGCAAGACACTTCTCTCATTCACTCATCCCAGGTAGGACCATCTCACCCCTCACCAGTGCCTTCAACATTTGAAGGGCATATCCAGTCATGTCCTAGTTGAGTGTTTTGGGGGCTTTTTGTTTGTTTGTTTTTAATATTTCAGGCTATCTGTCAGCCAAAAGACCTGGGAGTAACAAGGTCAATAGTGTTATTCTGGTAAAGCACCAACCCTTGTCTTAATACTATATTGTCACAAAAGAACTCATGTGGTCTTTTAAAAAGAGGATGTGGTTCTGGGCTTGGATGGTGAAGTTTGCTTCGTTTGAGTTATTAGCTTATACGACTTCATCATTATTTAAACAGTGAATCTCTTTCTGCTTTCTAGAAGTGTGTGTCACTTCTTACAGAACTCCCTTTGCTCCTGTAATTCATTTATCATTTCTTTCAAGCGAATAGTGTAAGTATGAAGGACTGGCTTTCTTTTAAAAAAGGCCAAAATACAGTGTTAGTGTCAGTTGTATCTGCAGGTAGTCCTGAGAAAGTATGTTGTTGGTTTTATACAGGCTAATTATTCCTTTCTTGCTTTACGGAAAAATTTGCCTCCCTTGATTTGTCATGCCCAAACCAGACAACTGCAAAAAAATCAACTAAAATTAAGCTTTTGTCATTCAGTTCCTCAAAATTGAGGTATTAGTTGGGAGTTTCCACTGTTTTGCTTTTAAATGAGAAAATGAAATACATTTTTACTTAAAGCTTTTTGATGCAAGTAGCTTTTTCTCTGCCAACAAGTTCAGAGGAGAACAAGAAGCATTTCCTGAGCAATTATGCCAGGACATTACTTCCAAAAGCGTCTTCTGTGAATGAAGTCACAACAGCCATTTTCTGCACATGCCTGCAGTTCTAAAGGGCCAGGGCATCAGAGAGGAACATGTGCCCATTGTACTTACAAGTTGTGAAGACCCCAGTCTCTCTGTTGCTTTGCAAGTCATCTTTAACTGCCACTAGGTATACTGTGTACTCGGTGCCTGGCTGCAGGTTCCTCAGAAGGTACTTGGTGGCAGAAGGTCCCACGTTGTAGGTCTTTGGCTGGCCTCCTCTCGTGGGACCGGCAGTCAGGCGGTAGCCTGTGATCACAGCACGGGGCCGTGTCCACAAAACTAAGACCGTGTGCTCCGTGGTATTGAGAAATCTCAGGTTGGTGGGGGCATCAAGCTCTGGGGAAGAAAGAAAAACATGCAGGAGTTTTCCAGCTTAACCTCCTGCCAAAACACGCCTGCTTGCCAGCCCCACTTCCATAGCAGGTCCTCTTCCCCACATGGAAGCAGAGGTGAGAAGTGAGGCTCTCGAGCCTGTATTTTTCACTTAGGCCATGAGTATAACAGCAGAGGAGAGAAATGGAGTACAACCATGCAAGAGCTGGAAGTAGGAGCCAAATAACCATATCCATGTGCCTGTGCTTCAGGTGATCCACACCTGTCCTGCTTTTGGGCTCCAAGCAGTGATGACCACAAGTCACTAAGTGCTGAGCCAGGAGATCAGGGCGTCCTGGGCTGTGCCGATCGGGTCGCCGCCACAAGCGCCAGCCCACGGGGAAGACTGGCTTGCAGCGGAGCCAACCCAGCAGCTCTCGGGAATTTCACTGCTTTCTCAGGAATGCTCAGCATTTAAGAATTAGTTCAGCTTAGACTCTTCAGCACAGACAAGGAAACCTAGCTGTAGTTTACTTTTTTTTTTTTAATCTTTTAAATTTTTTAATTCTTTGCTTAGTCCACTCCCCAACAATCCCTTTTCCAAAAGGAAAAGGAAACAAACAAAAAACCACACCCATCACAATACCACTCCGTTACTAGCCATTTTAATATAGAAATAAATACCAGCCAATGAGTTTCTGGAGAAAAATAATTCATAAATCTACTTCAAAATCATCATGCCATAGAACTTGCTATAAAACAATTCTAAGCATGCTCATCTCTCCCAAGGGACTATTGCAGCCACTCTCATCAGACTTCCTCCCCTTTTATAACTACCTCTGATCAAGAGCAACTTTTGGGATCTGTTGAAGAGGCTAATCCAGAAAAGTACAAACAGGAGTTTGAAGTGACAGAGTTTCCTTAGGACTGTGCTGAGTCCAGTGAACGGCAGAGGAGTCGTCCCCTTCAGCCGAGCCATTTGTGAGACAAGACTAAGGTCAGAGAAGGAAAGATCCTTTGGCAGTTCTCTCCCACCAAAGGCACTGCCAGCCTTTGCCATGAAAGTTATGGTGTCTACATAGCAAGCTTCTCCATCTTTTCTAAGCCACAATCATACGCTGAAACCAAGATCATTGAGAAGAGGCTCTATTAATGCTCCGTGGAGGAAGCAAGCGCTTTTTCCTGAGTAAATACCATTTCTGTAGCTCCATTAGCTTTCATTAACCATTCTCCCAGAACAGTTTGGACTCATGACTTCTGGAGACAAAAGCTGTTTTTCACCGAAACACCAGAAGACCTGCTTTCTTCCTTTTTAATTTAATTGAGGAGGAGGCAAGAGGAAGCAAGGACTCCTCTTTTCTACCACTTCCAGATATGGCAAGAAGATAGTTCTAAAGAACAAAGGAGTCTGACCCTCCCTAAGCTCATCTCCAACTGACAGTTGCAGAATCAGATATATATCCTTTCTTGATCCTTAGATCTGTGCTAACTCCCATATGACAAGGACCGGTACTTCCTCTGCTTGGTAGCCTACAGTCACTTCCTTTCTGCACAATTTAATTTGCCAGCTCTATTAGGGTTTTATCACTTCCTCTCCCAATACCAAAGGGAAAAAAAAAAGATAAAAAGCCACACACACACAGACACACACATACACACAGTTTATTTGTAGACAAAAGGCCAAAAAGCAAATTGCATTTACACCGTGGGAAGAGACTTTTGCTGCAGGGTTTTCCTTGGGAACTCTAAATGATTTCTTTTTCCCAGGACTTTCGATTACAGGATGCAATTTAAGTGAATACTTTCTGAAATGTGGTTTAAGCAAAGCAGTTAAGCGGATGCTCATAGCCTATGGAAAACAATTCCAGACATTTGTTACTAGGCCTGTGCTGTCTCAATCAAATGTCTGTGCTCAATGTACACCTCTGCATATGGATTTTCAGAGGGAGAGGCTCCCTGCCTAGCTAAGGCTCCTGGGAGCAGCCACAAACATGCAGACCTTGCTGAACTCAGTCCCTCTTATTCAAGATGCTTTCAAGAGATTCAGATTCCTGGTCACATCCTCGCTTCTAAAAGCCCCACTTGGAAGAGGATGGAGGGTATTCACATCTGTTGCACTCAGATTAGGTTCCTAAGTCAAAAGGACAAATTTTGGAACTCCATACTCCCCATACAGCCAGCGTAGGTGGTAAGAAGAAACATTATTCATGGCCCCTAACTCTATAGATATAAGTAGTGTGAAAAAGCCACCCTGTTTGAAATATAATTTACTGCATTTTCTCTTCTCTCATCCATATGTATTATGCTGGATTTTCAAAGGAGAGCAACTTCTGAGTAGTGTCAGAATAGCAGATGATACAGGGAGCTGAATATTGACCCAATGAATAATGTGACATAGTCAAGCAGCAGCACTGTCACCCCTGTACCACCCAGTAAATGGAATGTGTTCAAGCGCACCACATCCCAGATGCTATTTGATCCACTTCTGGATCAAGGAAGAACAGAGACAGCCAAACAAAACAGATGCTAACTCTCCTTCCCACTGGAAACCTACATCTTAGTTACTGCTCCTTTCTTCTCTGTGCTTCAGAGAGCCTGCCAGACTGCACACTGATTCTCACCTTGCCTCACACAGGTGACACTGCGCAGCTACTAGATGATCAACAGCCATGCTGAGAGATCCTGTACGACCTTTCCCCAAAAACATGCCCTCCCTTATCCAGAGGACATTGAGATCATTGCAAATCAGTTTCCCAGATTTCACTGGGCTGACCCTGAAGTTGTTGGGGTGGCAAGAGTGCCTGCACCCCAGGCTGTGGAAAGCCAGGTCAGACAAAGCTGAAATGCAGTCCCTTTTATAACAAGTCCTGTCTTCACAAATGCATTTAGAATTTCTGCTGAAGAGAGCCAAATAGGAATGTAGCTGTCAGGAAGGAGATAGGGATTTTCAGAGCAGTCTAAGCAACGCTCCTATGTCACACTGAAATCTGCCCTGAGGTATCGTTGAATTCACAGGCTGTGATCTGTGCTGTAAGAGAACTGCAGGGCCCATCAATTCTCAGCCAGTAATAAAAAAGTTGAATTCCAGCCATATGAAATTGTTTTAAAGTGCCATGAGAGTTAAACTCCCATTGGAAAGCCCTGGAGGAACATAAATCTGCTGAAGAGATCACTGTTTGACTGAATGAATTCCCAGCCCTGTCATCCTACTTATGGGATACCTCCTGGGCTAGAACTGTTTCACTTTAAGTGCTCTGTTTATATGTTTCTCTAAACAACAGAAATATTCACTTCAAAAGGCTGAAAAAAGTCTTAAGGAAAGATACTTACTGGTGGTTTGCTCTCCAGTCAAAGGTTTGCTCTCCCTGCCATGGCTTACAGCAAAGATCTTAAAGAGATATGTTGTTCCTGGGAGCAGGTCAACAACTTCAGCAAAAGAGCTCCTGGAAACAGGCAGCCTCTGGCCGTGTTGGCCAGGGCGATTGACAGGGATAACTTCCACCCGGTAGCCAGACACGGTGCTCTCTGGCGGGGTCCACATGATGGTGATCTTGACATCAGAAACCTCCACAAACTGCAGATCTTTGGGTGAAGGAACTTCATCTGAGAAGGGAGAGACAATACAGAGTGTTAGGGCGAGTCCCAAGCAACTGGCAGAGGAGGCCACAGGAATAGGGTGAGGAAGAAAATGAGGGAGTTAGCGCTGAACAGTTGATAGCCAGAGAATATTTACTAAACAGAAAAATGCTATGGTAACCTTATTTGAAACACACACACACACATACCTTCCTAGACAATATTAATGCAGACTGCACATTCAAAGTGACATTACATTGCTTTAAGTACTTTATGCCTCAAGGCATTGATGATATATTGCTCTCACAAAAAAAAAAAAAAAAAAAAGAAGAAGAGAAAAGAAAAGAAAAACCAGATGCAATATGCTGCAGAACTTCAAGTATATGCAGAACCAAAGGCTTGAAAAGTACTCCAAGGGCTGGAAACAAGAACTTTTTGAAAATTAAAGGAGAGCATCTTAAAAATTACCATTGCATGGTCAGAATGTCTATAATTAACTTAAAATCCATCTTTTATAACTGAACAAATATAGGGGCTGATCTGGCCTAGTTGTAGTCAAAGAGAAAATCCAGTTTCCTCTGTTTAGCCCACACCATTGCACCATTGAATTCCTATGCTCAAATTAGGTTTTGTTAAGTTAGGACAGATACTGCCCTGCAGTTAACCAAAGCACATTTTCAGAAGACAGAGATGCCAAACCATAAAATGGCTGAGCTGAGTTTGTGCCTGGTAAATCCCATTTGTGAACACATGGGCTTGTAACTTGCATCA